TTTTTTTAAAAAAAATAACATTATAGTTCCATTTTTTAAAAAAAAGTATTTTAATTGAAATATAAAAAGGCAATCTTTTGGAAAGGACAAAAAATATTTACAATCATAATTAGAGATTAAAAGTATGCTTAATCACTATGAAAACTGTCATTTTAAAATAAAAGTTATTTTAATGTATTTTTTAAAGAATAAATGAGCTGGAAGGGATCTTGGAAGTCTTCTAGTCCAGCCCCTTACTCAAGCAGGAGAACCTATACCATTTCAGATAAGTGTCTGTCTAGTCCAGGGGTATCAAATTTGCATTATCACGGCAGCATCACATGGTGTATTGGGACATTTTTCCCTTTCCCTAAACTGGGTGTGGGTGTGGCCAGCTTGTAATCCAGTCCGCAGGCCATGAATTTGATAGCCCTGGTCTAGATTCTTCTTAAAAATATCCAGTGATGGAACTCCCATGATTTCTGGAGGCAAGTTGTTCCACTGGTTAATTGTCCTCACTGTTAGAACATTTATACTTAATTCCAGATTGTTTCTCACTTTGATTAGTTTCCAACCATTGTTTCTTGTTCTGCCCTCTTGTGCTTTGTAAAATAATTTGACCCCCTCTTCTTTTTGGCAGCCATCAATACCGAAATGTGGTTATCATGTCACTCCTGACTCTTCTTTTCTTTAGACTAGCCAAACCCAAATCCTGCAATATTAGGCACTCATTTTTTTTTCAAGCATTCTTTTTTAAAAGATTATCTCCCCAAAACTTTAAAATATATAAGAAATTTCAATCTAATATTTGGTATTTTATATTGGTATAGTTTGAAACAATGTACAATATTATCACAATAATAAACAGAATCTGTGTAATGCTCCTATTGAAATCTCAACCTATATCTAATATGGACTTCATTTTACCAAGAAGCTACAATTTCTTTAAGTAATCTGTAACCAGGAATTATATGAAATGTCACAATTTGTTAAACAAATGTATTGATGTCTACATAACTTGTATATTAACCATCAAGGTCTAACTAAAAGTCAATATTCTTCATAAATACAGTATATAGCTAAATATTTATTTTCATTAAATATATTCTAATCATAATTACTTTAATAGATAGTACACCAACAGCAAATATATAGTTTATCTAGTAAATATTCATATATATTTTTCTCCTCAGACAGACTATATTGATGCTTGTCAATTCTCAATGGAAAATCAAACCATAACTACAGAATTTATACTCTTGGGACTTTCAAGAAACCCAGAAATTCAGATGATTCTATTCTTTGTGATTCTAACTATATACACAATAACAGTATTAGGAAACCTTTTGATCATACTGATAATTAGGACTGAACATGGCCTTCACACTCCTATGTTCTACTTTCTCAGTCATCTAGCCTTCATTGACATTTGCTTCTCAACAGTCACTGTCCCAAAGATGCTGGGAAATTATATTACACATAAAAAAACAGTTTCTTTGGTAGGATGCATTGTACAAATCTTTTCTTTTACCCATTTTGCTTGTGTGGATTTCTTTCTACTTTCAATAATGGCATTTGATCGCTACATTGCAATTTGTAACCCACTGCATTATTTATTAATTATGAAAAAACAAATGTGCAGGCAGTTGGTGGGAGGATCCTGGATAATGGGATTCTTGGATGCATTGATCAACTCTCTGCCTTTGAAATATTTGAAATTTTGTCGGGTTCCTTTAGTCAATCACTATACATGTGAACTTCCTCTGCTTTTGAACTTATCATGCAGTAAAACATTTACGAATTATATGTTCTTACTTGGCTCAGTTATTATTTTTGCTATTACACCCTTCTTTCTTATTGTTGTATCTTACATTTATATTATTTCTTCTATCTTAAAAATTCATTCAGCAAAAGGCAGGAGCAAAGCCTTTTCCACATGCAGCTCCCATCTCATTGTGGTTTGCATGTTTTTATTTTCAGCTTTTTCCAGGTACCTGAATCCAAGTTCTCAATCTCCTACAGATCTGGAGAAAGTGATCTCTATCCAATACACTGTGTTAACACCCATGTTGAATCCAATAATATACAGCCTAAAAAATAAAGATATAAAAATGGTAGTTAAGAAAAAATGGCAAACCCTGCGTAAAATGATAATGTAGTTGGTTGTTCAGAAGGACAAAGACAAGAACTACTTTAGAAATTAAAGAAGAAGAAGAAAAATCTTCCCAATAAGAAAAAAAACCTTTTCCAGTATTATGCTTTGGCATATGCCCAAACCGATCCTCAGAAAAGAAATTCATTTCTTATGCTCTGAATTTGTCTATGAAATTAGATGGATAATTCCTCAGCGATCCTCACTGTTTCTACGTACCACAGCAATTGTGGCAATGGAGAGGGAATGGTTTGGCATGTGCAACCTAATGCCATGCTTGCACAAATGCAGCTTCACATGCTTACTTGCTGCTTGCATGGCCTGATGGTTAATGGGCTACAGACCAGTAACAGTCATGGACCAGGGGGTTGTGGACCCGTGATGTTCAATATCACTGATTATAAGAATAACAGAGCATCATTCTTTACTTATTTCATCAGCTTTTTCTACTTGTAATGGAGTATTCACAATTTAAGTTGCAATGAATAGTATTTCAATTCTCCAATTTTTATTTTATTGTGAATATGCCACTATTAATCTTGGGAAGGAAAAAGTGGTTTCCATAGTGTTTACAGGAAGATTTCTTTAATTTTATGTTGAAATAACATCATGATTTTGCTTTTTATAATATTGTCAAATAAAACATTAACATTTTCATTTCTTGCAAATTCTGCATGACAGTCAACATAGAATCAGGTAATAATAATAATAATTGTAATGATAAAATACTTTCTACCTTCTGCAGCATTACTTTTTGTATCAGTGTTTTCCATTTTCTGTTCTAGTTTTGTATTTTTTTTTAAAAAAATAATACTTTAACTTAATTTTTTTCTTTTAAAAATGAAATATGTTTATGTTGGTTACACATATTTTTGGTATAATATCTAATATTCAGTTCAGCTAAGGATAATAACAAGTTGTATTTACAATAATGACAATTTCTTTTTCATATTCTAATTTTATTCCAGTAATACTCAATTACTGCCTCTTACCAGAATCACAAAACTCTTCTTCCATTTTTCTGAAACATATGGATAAAAATAATCTGAATTATTATCATTTGATATTTTTTTTACATTTTTTGCTTGGAATCCCACTGGAGTTGAAGGGGAGAAAATCTAGATATCTTACAGATTATGAAATTATGATCAAAATACGCAATGGCAGCATCTCCTCTGACATTCTTAGAAGGCAGCAATGATTTTGGACTTTGAGATGGGAGAAGGGATCTGATTCATTGTTTTAAATCCTATGTTAAACCTAGTTATATGCAGACTTAAAAAGAAATAAATTAAAAAAATTATTTGAAAATAGTTTCAAATATATTCCTAGAGATACAAAACTATTTATATAAACATGCAAATGCACAACAAAAAGTTGTTGGTTTATATTGTTCACATTGTTATATTACAATATTGATGTAGAGCAAATAGTCATTCTGAGCGTAACATGTAGAAAGTACTAGAAGTGTAATAAAATAAATAATAAGAAACATTTTATTGATCAAGTGACTTCACTTAGAATTGCATACCATAATAAGATTAATGTATTATTTTTCAAAGGGAAAATTCAAAAAATGAAATGAATGCTTATAAAGTATAAAAGTTATTGTTAATTAGATTCATTCTATTGTTAAAAAAAGACAAATAGAATGACTTAAATATTTCTTTATTGGTAAGTTTATTTAATAATAAATACACTTGCAAAATAAGAAACAAGTAAAATTAAAAAGGGTTCTTATTTAAGCAGATAAGGGGTTGTTGATTTGAATTGGCTTAGGAAATTTTATGGTTATTTGCAGTGACGTGTGGTGAGTTTTATGGCTGGTGAGGCAGCAATTTTTTTAGACTTGTGGACTTCAACTCCCAGAATTCCACAGCCAGGCATGCTCAGTTCCGATTTAAAGTGACAGCATTTGTTTTGCTCCTTTGCTAAATAACTTTCCTTCTTTCTTTTTCTTTTTCTTCTCCCATCCCCTCCTTCCTACCTCTCTCCGTCCCTCCCCCCTCTCTCAAACACACACACGCACATGCACGCACGCACGCACACACACACACACACACACACACACAAAGTTGCACCAGGATTCAGAAAATTTAGGTTTTCCTCCTCATCCCATGTTAGCAATAACACTAGCAGCATATTGGCTGGCAGGTGTAAGTAGAAGTGGAAATTCATTCTACTGAAAACATTGTTTTTGCTTATGATTGGATAATTAATATTTCAGAAGACCCAAAGGCATAGTATTAAAGTGTTACATAGTGCGTAAACTAAAGAACTGTCTCAATATGCTCCCTACCCCTCTCTCAAACACACACACACACACACACACACACAGTTGCACCAGGAGAATGAAGTTTGAATTCCTCCCCCTCCCTCCGACCCACATGTACCTTTTCCAGTTGTTTCAGAGAGGATTTCAACTCTGCTCTTGCCTGCCATCATGAAAAGAAAAAAATGTAAAAGGAAAAAGGCAAGAGTTGAGGTCAGGCTGAGCTAGTTGCTCCCAGAGTCACCGTGTGGATGACTCTGCTTAACTGTTTAAAAAAGCCTCTAAAAAAACGCCCTCTACAGGAGGCAGAAAAACAACGTGCCTCATCTACGTCAGAAATTTTTTGGCTTTTAACTCTTGCTTAGCTCTGCTCGAGTGATCATAAAGTCAGACTAGATGAGGCACCTTGTTCTCCTGCCGCCTCCTGTAGAGGGCACTTTTTAGAGGCTTTTTTTTTAAACAGTTAAGCATTAAGCAGAGTCATCCACTGTGACTCTGGCAGCAACTAGCTCAACCTGACCTCAGCTCTTGCCTTTTTCCTTTTACACTTTTTTTTCTTTTCATGATGACAGTGGTGAGGTTCTGCCTCCCTGCCTCCCCAGACTGCATGCCCCTGTTATTTGTGATTTTTATTTATTGTCCCAATGTTTGCCATCGTATTTATGTCAAGTAAAGATATATGATAATTGGCTTGTGGTCCTACTTGTTTGATAGAATATTTATATTTCTCTTTCCCTTCATCCTCATCTTCACTTGGGATATAAAGTTAGAAAGGGGGAAACCATTTCTAGTCCCTCCTTAGCCAAGAAAGCCATCTGGGTGACTTTGAGCCATTCATTCTCTCTTAGTGCAACACATCACACAAAGTTATAGTTGTGGGAAAAATAGGAAGAGGAAGCTGTATTGGATATGTTCACTGCCTTGAGTTATTTGTAAAAATAATAAAGACAGAATATAAGTAAACTAAATAAAAATAAAATTAATAATATAATCATGAGGATCAATAGCTAATGGTGGACATGATATAACATTATCCTCTTGTAAAACTGGGGGAAAGTAGCAATTATTTTCAGAAGTCATGGAACAGATTAGTGAAATATATCATCTCTGGGAAAGCAACAAATAATGATTACCTGCAGATAACATCCATAAAATCTTATACTCTATACACAGAAAATCTACCAGCCGTGCCTAAAATGAAGAGCCTAACCACACATCAAGGCTGGAAATTAAATATATAAATACAGAATTTATAAATCTAAGTAAAACAAAAAAAAATAGTAGACATCAAAACAATTCTGACACATCCTCCCAGTGCTCATAGTAATATAAAATTTCAGCACCAACTTAATACATCTGCCCAATTCAGGTTCTCACTCTCAGCACATTTCTGAATCTCAAAAAATATTTATTTTTCACCAAAAGACCTAAATGTACAATACTTAACTTTTTCACAAACAGTGAAAGTGACACAAATAGTGATTCTTCTTACAGCTCCATACCATCAATATTCAAGAGAGCATGCAATTCCAAGTAGTTGGCATCAATAATAAACCACCTTGCCTACTAAATAAGTCAACACATTCTCAGAAACCCATTCTGGAGGTATACCTTCATCTGCTTCCAAATATGAGAGCCTCTCCAGAACCTGACTCACAAAAGAAAGTTTCCTTCATCTTTTCTTTCCCAGGATAAGCCAAATAATATTCTTCCTGCTAAAGAATTGGAATCTCTGCTTGCCAGCAATCTACGTTATGCTTTCCATTCTGCATTGATTCTGCCCATCTGTTTGCCAGAATACAAATCTCTCCTGATTTCTCATGAGAAAAAAAAAACTTGATAAATGGATAGTTCAGAAGGGAGAGAAGAAACTTGATGTACCCTCTTTATGACCCAAAGGCAGATTACAATTACAACTGGAAATTCAAAGACCAGTTGAAACAAGAAAACATATTTGCAGATTTGTCACGTGTAAGCAACCAGAAGCATTCATGAATAGTCTCAGACTAATTGTTTGTCATCTATGCTACAAGAATCTCAACAGATTGACTTGATTCATTTAGGAATAGTCAGATATTTCAGGGATTCAGAGAGAGGACAAGCCTATGTCATTTTCTGCAGTGCAAGGACTTTAAGCTTGGCCCTATTCTAACAATTTCCTCCAGTCTAGCTGAAGAGCTTCAGGGAAGAACAATTCACAATTGATCAATGACTAGTGATCATCTCATTGAAAAATATTCCTTCCATAAAACAATTTCCCCTTATTCGACATCTTCATAAACTTTGCAGCAGCATTTGATTCTATACTCCAATTCTATATTTGATTCACATTGTGAAAGAAATTGAGGCTTCCTCAATTGACCAACATCTTTGGCATATTTTTTATACATTTGTAAATTTTTTATTTAATTTTTATATTTATATGTATGGGGAGTGTATGGTATGACTGTGATTGACTGAATGTCCCACTTTTATTATTATATTGCTGTTTTTGTTTTTAACTTTATTGTGGGGATTGACTGGTTGTATGCATGGGTGTGTTTGGTGGGCCGGGAGTTTAGCTGGGACCTCCTGCACTGAGTGCTTTGGCAGAAGTGCTAGGGGCCCCCGGCCCTGGTCCCGGCCCTTGGTTGTGTGTGTCAAAGGGCCTGCCGATGAATCCAGTAGCTGGGGGAGAGGGTGAAGGGACCACAGATGTGGGAGTGGGCCGGAACATAGGGGTCATAATGGGGGGG